CCATGTGGGGCCTATGGACCAAGCAATATCAAACTCGCTGCCCGCGGGCCATGTGGGGCCCACAACAAATATGTTTGCAGCCCAGCCAATATAACGGTATGTAAGAAATGTTTTAATAAAAATTTCATAACTTAATTTTTACAATATCCTGTTATACATCATTATTAATAACAAACTACAATGTTCGCTAATGACTGATTACTATAATCGTGTTGCATTCATTTTCCTTAAGCTCCTTATGTGCAGGTGCACCATTTCTCTCCACCAATAGTAGCAGTGAATATTGTAGCAGCCAATTGCCACATCAGTAGTCTCGGACTGACTTATTTGGTGCGCTCAACAGGAAATATTTCGCTTTTGGAGAACAAGAAAAATAGGTTTATTTGCATTACGCTTATTAATTTGTGCAGTTATTCAGTGTCTGGTAAGTTAATTTTCAAGAAAAAACATTAATTTTTATTAAAATGTTCTATTATGTTAATGATTACCCATTTATTTCAGCCCTTTGTATTCAACATGTCTCTATTGAAATAAACCTACATTTCTATGTAAATTAAATCTTTTGTTATTCTGAGGTCCACATAAACTTAAATCTTGTTTATTTGGCCCATGTTAGCCTTTGAGTTTGACATGCTTGCTGTAGAACTTTCCAATGGGGTGGAGCCTCGGGGTGTCATCAGGTTGGAGCTAGTGGAGTTTATAAGACTAACACAGATTCAGATTTGGCCATAAAAGGAGAAGGCTCAACACAAGGACAATGGTGGCCACCCTACCAGATTTCACCTTACAGCCATACAACTCAGTTTCCTGTATGCCTGGTACCCTCTGAGGTTTACTGGCATTCATAGAAAGCGGTGTTTTGTTTTGTTTTGTTTTGTCTTGTTTTTTAAAAAAGACTGCAAGGCAAGCCCAAGCTGGTTACCACCAAAATAGCTTAGTATGCTCTGGTCGGTGTGGTTCAGTTGATTTCAGCGTCATCCCATACACGGAACAGTCGTGAGTTTAATTCTCAGTCAAGCACATGCCTAGATAGGGGGTTTGGTACCCAGTTGGGGCACCTGCAGGAGGCAACCGATCAATGATTCTCTCTCACATAGATCTCCTCTTTTTCTCCCTTCCTCTCTCTAAAATCAATAGACATGTCCTACAATGAGGATTTAAAAAATAGTTTAGGGTGATGGGTGAGTTGAGTGGGGCAAGGTCTCAGGGAATTATCAGGTTGGAGTGAGTGGAGTGCATTAGGCTAATGCAGATTTAGATTTGGCTGTGCTGGGGGAGGAGGGGATAGAGGAGTGATCCACACAGGTAAGATGGCTTGTGGGACATGCAGGAAGAGGGCTCAACACAAGGACAATGGTAGTCTCTTTCTAGTACTCATCCTGAAGCCACACACCTCAGTTTCCCCCTTTATGTCTCTGGCACCTCCTGAGCCAATGTCCCTCAGCCTGAGCCCAGGGTGAATGCCTTTGAGCAAGAGTTTTTGCATGGGCTCTTTAAGGTGATGCCTGGGTTTCCAGCAGCCTTCCGTCACACCCTTATGGTTAGAATCCCCCCTGCTTTTCACAGCCAGATGTTATGTGATATCCTCCCCTGGCACTGTTGTTCTGGGCTGGGACACCCTGCATGGGGCTGAGACCCCTAACTCCTCCAGGAGACCTCTACAGCTGAGATATCCTGCCAGATTCTCAACTGCCACATGTAAGTGTGGTACCAGCTGTTTTCACATCTCTCCCTTCCCACCAGTCTCTATGTGGCTTCTTCTTTATGTCCTTAGTTATAGAACTTCTATTCATCTAGTCTTCAGGTGCTATTCCCATTTATTGTTCTATTATTTAGTTGTATTTTTGTTAATCCTCATCTGACGATGTTTCTCCATCGATCTTTTAGAGAGAGTGGAGAGAGTGGAAGAAAGAGGGAAAGACAGAGAGAAACATCAATGTGAGAGAAAAACATCAATTGTTTGCCTCTTGCACATACCTTGACCAGAGCCAAGGCCAGGGAGGAGACTGCAACCAAAGTAGTGCTCTGGACCGGAATCGAAGCTGGGACCCTTTGGTCCACAGGCCGATGCTCTATCTACTGAACCAAACCAGCTAGGGCTAGTTGTAATTGTGATGTGGTCATGGAAGGGGTGACTATAATGTCCACATATTCTGTGATTTGGACCAGAACCACTTTTTAAAAATTTTAATTTTTTTCAATTAGAGTTGACATGCAATGTTACTTTATGTGTACAGCATAGTGGGTAGACATTTATATAATTTAAGAAGTGATCCCTCCAGTTAACTCTACTAACCACCAGGCATCATACATAGTTATTAAAATATTATTGACTATTTTTCCGTATACTTTATTCTGAAATGACAAAATTATAGGCATGGGGAACACTTTAGCAGTTGCCAAGGAGTGAGAAGAGGGAGAGAAGAAATAGGTATTAAAAAAAATAAGCACTGTAAATCCTTAAGGTGATGGCACTGTTCAATACTTTGACTGTAGTGGTCACGTAAACCTACACATGTGATAAAATTTCATAGAGTGATACACACAAGCAAATGGGTGTATGTAAAACTGGTGACATTGGAATAAGGTGGATAGATTATATCTTTGTCAGTTTCCTGTTTGTGATGTTTTACTATAGTTATGCATGATGTTACCATTGAGGATGAAGGATATTTGGGATTCCTCTTAATTTTTCTTAATGGCATGTAAATCCACAATTATCTTGAAATAAAAGCTTTTTAAATGAGTATGAACTATATGCTCTAATGCCCATTTAATAAATAGAATAAGGCATGGAGATAATCATAAGTTTAGTTTGAATAAGACCTAGTAGGAAGTCTAGCTTAAGACTCACCCAAATTGGAGTTTCCAGTTCAGAAACTAAGACTGGAACTAATACAAGGACCACCAGCATTTACACTAATGAAAAATGTTTCAGAGAATTCCAGCAGCCCCCTTACACAGTTGTCAAGTATATAAGAGATCCTAAGCAAAAACTGCCTGGTTGAAAAGAACCATTATTTGATCATAATAAGTAATTTTAAACTTTTAAGCCACTAGCTTTTGGGATGGTTTGCTATGCTATAATCAGAATACATACTACATTAAGCAAGGAAAGCGAGTGGTTGTAGCCAAATAGATGAGTCTACAGATTTCAAATAATAGGATCCATGTTTGTCCCAGACTGGCTCCTGAAACCCATTTTCCTGAATACTCTCTAAGCAGGTCAGGAGTGATGACAAGGGTTGGGGGATGCAAACAAAAAGGACATTGAACAACCAGTCCTTGCCCTTGAAGAACTCACAGTCCAGTGAGACAAAACATCAGTGCATTAAATGGCATCTGAACAGTTATAAGGCAACAAATCAGCAAGCTCAAACTAATATACTACAGCACAAATTGAATGCATGTGGCAATGTATGGCTACCCAAGCAGCAGAATGAAGCTAGACATTTTCCGCCCTGAAGGCAACATTTCAGAAAGGGCCCCACTTTCTTTGTTAACAGTGAAATAAACATCTCCAGCAATGCAGGGCCTAGTTGGGTGATATTAACACTTTTGTAGAAAGGAAAAAGGAGGTTACTTCCTGGGACAAGTATTCTTGCTTTAATTTTCCTTTGTTCTCTTTTCTTGATATGTGTATTTTTGGCAAGCCACAATTTCACTCAGCATCAATTTCCTTATCTATAGGTTAGAGATAAAAAACCAGAGAGCAGTGGGTTGAAAGTCAGGAAATATGTGTTGGAATCTCAAATTTATCATTTACTAGCTATATGACTTTGGATACATTACTTCCCTGTCACCCCCGCCCCCATAAATTTCCTCTACTGTGACATGAAAAGGTTAGGCTGAATGGTCCAGATGGTCCCCACCAACTCTAATATTTGAGGCCACAGGTAATTCATAGTTTGTTGTGAGAGTTTAAAAAGTAATGTGACCTATATGAAAATACTCTGTAAGTCATAAAATGGTACACCAATGTTAGGGATATCAATATTATCCAGTTCCATGTCATGGGAAAAAGCCCTGCAGCTCTCCCCCAAGTTTAGGGACTTAAAATATAAATGGGTACTGTCAGGGCAGCACTTTCGGGACTTAGAAGTTTCTAATTCTTTATAAATATTGCTTGCAGAATAAACACAAATTTGGAATAGTCTGTCTCAAGGCATCAGCAGTGCTATTGTAATTTCAGGGTTGAGTTCTTGTCCAACTCAAAATCATAGGGACTACTAAAACAGTGGAGGCTATGGGCCACTCCAAGTTTGCCTCAAGACCCTTAATGTTTATAGAGTTCCTTTCCTTGGGGGTTTGGGAGCTCTCTTTGTGGGAGAAAACAGATTTCTAAGTCCCCTCTCCCTCCACCTGCACCCCCATCTCCACTCTGCCTTTAACTAAACCAAGCTTTATCACTTCATTACTGCAATGGGGATTTGGGAAAGGCCTCCAAATGATAAGCAGCTTGCTAGGACATAATTCAGGGGGCAAACTCATCCTGTGCCTGGTGCAATGGCTCAGGACCAGACCAGGTGCATGCATCCAGAGAGGCTCTTATGCCAGAGGAGAGGGGTGCAGGCTTCCAGTCAGGAAAGTCGGAGGGTAGCTGGGTCTTCGAGGTTGGTGCAAGAGGTAGTGAGCGCCTAAGTGCATCCTGCTCAGAGGGGAAGAAGGGGCCTGAGGAGATGTGCGGTCCCTTTAAGACCCCAAAGCTTGCTTAGCCAGACGAGGGGGGTGCAGTGGAGGCGCTGCGTGATGGGAAAGTCGCCGGCTGAGCCTCACATTTTCTCCCGATTTCCTAACTTTCCAGTGTGGGGAGCAGGAATAAAGCCATAGTGCGGAGTGGAGAAGGGGTGCCGGCTGGCAGAGGCTGCGCGCTTGCAGATTTCCCGCCTGCGCCTAGCGGCGGCCACGCACGCCAAGTGGGGAGCGGGAAGCGGGGAGCAGGGAGCGGGCGGCGGGCGGCGGGCGGCGGGCGGGCGGGCAGGCGGGCAGGTGGCCCCGAGCTGCTGGCGCCCGAGCCTTGGCTCAGCCCCCAGGAGCCCAGCGAACCGCTGCTCCCTCGTGGTGTGAGGGCGGTGATGTTTTTCCTCCCACCCACTTTTGGGTCCCCCCGCCCCCCTCGCGCGCACTCTAGCTCTCTCCACAACCTGCGAGCCACAGATCTCAGAGGAGCGCCAGGGAGAGCTTGGAGCGCGTGCACCAGTGGAAGACAGAGGAAGCCAGTGAACAGGTCAGTGAGCAGTGCCTGGCTTCTGCTTCCCCTACCTTCCTTTCCAGCCTTTGCACAGGTGGAGTATCTTCTGCTGGCCGGAGCCACTCCTGAAAGTTCCCAGAGGGTGCCCCAAACTCTCTCGATCTGTCACCTCAACTCTATTTAGGTTCCAGCTGCCAGCGGCCAGGGTGGAGGTGGGGCCCAGGGTGCCTGACCCAAGGCAGTTTGGGGATTCTGAATTCGAACTCACCACTCTCCACTCCCTACTCAGCCTGCATATTTCCATGCTCTGGTGCTTCTGGAGGCCAAATGGGAAGCTACCTAACGGGTTCTGGAATCCCCTTAGTTATCCCATTTGTCCAGAGCCTTTTTTCTCACTTGCTGAAGTGCCTTGGACCAGTGGGAGATTAATATGTGCTAAAGTTAATGAAACAGGGGAGGAGGAGGAGGAGGAGAGAGAGGAGAGAGAGAGAGAGAGAGAGAGAGAGAGAGAGAGAGAGAGAGAGAGAGAGAGAGAGAAATTCCTCTAGCCCTCTAGCCTCTGGACAGTTGCCTCATTTTCCAACCTAAACAACTGGGGTCAGAGTTTGAGATGCTAGGCTCAGGAAGCAATCCAATATTGCCAGGGCCTGGAAAGCCTGCCCTGTAGTCCCTCTGGCCCTGCCACTACCTCTATGAAAATGGGCAATTGAGTTCTGTAGGCTCAAGGGAGCTTGAGATTATTCTTGGGAATAAAATGAAATTATAACAAGATGTTTTGCAAGCCATTGTTTGTCAATAGTAAGTAGCAATGAAGGCATTGACTCTGAAAAGTGTCACCTGGGCTAGAACTGCCATTTTTCAGTGAACTGAGCTTTTCTTTTTGGGAGGTAGAGTGGGGAGAGGATGTTAGCCATCACTGTCTGAGACTGCAGTGTCTTCCTATTGTCCTATTGTCCGAAAGAGAATTGCTAACCCGGGGGCTATCCCACAGATGATAGTGAATGTGAGATTACAAGGTCTGTCAAGCCTCTCAGTAAGGATTAGAGACGCTGTGGGACTGGACCTGAAGAACTGGCTGACATGTGCTCAGCCCTTTCTTCCTCTGAGAATGTCTCTTTGGTTCTGTTCTACCCAGGAGACCTCTTCTGAAAATGGACAGGCTCCTGTCAACTTGATGGCTCGGACTGCCTTGCAGTTATAGCTGGGCAAGGAGACCTTGGGCCCTTTGCTTGATGCAAATGAACAATGCAAATGCTTGTTTCATGGCATCCTAATCTACACATTTCTTTAGGTTCTAACATGTTTCTTTTTGTCTTATAAAGCTCAGTCTCCCTCTCCCCTCCCCAGTGTCAGTTGCAGGGTTTCATTTTCTTTGTTGTTTTCTTGCTGTGGCTTGGATCTCCCCAAAACATGTCAATGGCTACATTTTTAAGTAACCTGTAAAAGAACCAGTGCAAGTTCAATGGCATAGCCTGTGTGAAGCAGAGAGTTAATGCAGAAATAACTCCAGTTAACTGGGTCAAAGTATAATTTGAAAAATTAAGGACAGTTTGGCTCTTTGCAAGTGAAAGACTCGGCATGTTTGCTGAGCAATGCTTGCTTGTGTTTATTGCTACAGTCCCAACAAATGTCTTGCACCACCCTGCTCCCACAAAAGAAAAAATAAAATGGATAAGAGAAATTGAATGGTGAGGAGACCTGGAAGGGAACTCTGCTTAGTTTATATTTCTGCACAGAATACAAAGGCAGGACTCCAGGACCTTGTAAATCAAAAGTGAAGATTTATAAAGCGATTAGTTTTCTGATGTTCTACATCACAGCCTGGGAGGCCACAAAGATGACAGGAACAGCAAAAGAGATTAATTGCTCTCTCGTCACCAACTTTTCTATTTGCTCATAACATTAGTTGGGACCCAAGAAAAGCAAAAAAAATCTAAGAGCCGTTTTCTTGCCAGCATGAGTTATGAAGCAATGCTACTGTTCACTGAATCGCCCAACCATTGTACAAGAAAAACAACCCTGTTGGTTCTTGCATGGGGAGACCTGAAAACTGTGGTTTGAGAAATACTTCCTGAGATCCATATGTGATTGTGATAAATTGGATTTCAGTGGTTTAAAAAAATATTTCTCATTTGGAGATTTGGGGGATATGCTTATTAAAGTAGACTCAGAAAGAACGTCCCAACTGTTCATGCAAATGATTCGCTTCAAGGGAACCTGGTAGCTCTTAGAAGACAGAGACATTATGAATGATTGAAGGTGGACCACAAACTTACCAAGGGACCAAGACATCAGAACTTATACCTTTGACAGGCTAGGAATATGTCTGAGGACAATTTAGTTCTTGTTTAAGGAGCAGGGAGGAGGTAGAGAAGGCAGAATGGTATGGAAAATTCTGGCTGATGACACAAGTTATTTTCTATGATTAGTTATCCTTTGGTTATTATATGCATAAATGGATTTTCAAATATCTGGACAACTTCAGAGCATTTAAAGTAGGAGCTGTGGTATCCATATCACAGCCCAACGACAATTTACTTCTGCAGAATGATCACCTTGCATTTCTTCCAGCTCTTTATACTAGGTATTTAGGTTGGATCCTCTGAAAAGTTCAATGAGCTGAGTTACCGTCCAGGGTTAAGCCCAGATTGAAATATGATGTTTCTCAAGTATTTAAATATTTTCAAATCACCAATTGGAAGAGTTTTGCAAACTCTAAAGCCTATGGAAATGACCTGTGACTGGATATGAGCTGTAGCAAACTTTCTCTGTTTGAAGGCTCAAAAGATTTAAGATTTCTATCCCTTAGACTGGAAATGTAAGTCTCACATTTTTAAGAATTGTAGTTGCTTTATAATGTTCTTTTGCGTGGTGGTGTAATGTAACACATTAACTATTTAATTTTGCCTAAATTTTCTCAAAAGTGACCCTTTTTACATTTCCATTTCACAATATGCCTGAGCCATTCAGGTATTTAATTGCATCCATTTGCTAATTACATCTATGTTTTCCAACATAAGTAAGCCAAACTGAAGAGCCTTATAGATCCAATGGAGGACATAGGAGAAACACTGAACTTTGTGCCTCATCCCTGAAGTATTAATAAAACAGAAGTCTTGAAGATAAGATTAGTTAACTTTCAGAAATTGTTTGGGTCTCATGCCTATCATTTTTATGTAGTTTGCCAAAGTAGCTGTTTTGCAAACCCCCGTCTCCCTTTTTACCCCAAAGAAAATCTCTTGAGAAATCAACTTTAATTCCCTTAGAAATGAGATTTTAAAATTTATTTTCATTTCCCTACGACTTGACTTAGCATTAGATAGAAATGCATGTTCATCGTCTTTGCAAGACAGGAGAGGCAGGTTCTATTTCTTACACAGGAAAACAATGCTTGCACTTATGTAAATTCTCCAAAGTTTTTTTTTTCCCCCCTAGCACGTTAGAAACACTAAGCATCAGTGATCTCCGTCACTTTCAGAGGACCTTTTTAAAGTCTTTCTGTTTTCTTTCCAACAGCTTGACTACACCAGACCCTGGAAGTTTTGAGTTGCCTTTTGCAGTGGCCAAAATGAGAAATAAGTGGAAAATGGGAGGAATAAAATACATCTTTACCTTGTTGCTGTTCTTTCTTTTCCTAGAAGGAAGCAAAACAGAGCAAGTAAAACGTAAGTGTCTCAAGTTTTAAAAATAGAATGCTTTTTTGTAATTTCTTTGAAAATGTGGTTATAATCTGTGTTGAATGTGATGTAGCCCAATTGTGGCCATGCCATTATTCTAAGAGAAGAAAGTGATTGTTACTGGTTTATGCATGAATTGATAAGAGAATAAGAGTTTTGAATCAGGCCAACTAAATTTGGGGCTGTTTTTCTGATTATCATATAGTTTTCATCTCATAGTAGACATGACACATTAGCCTATTTTCCTTTTCCTGTTTTAAACTGTACGAATCTCATTCCATTTTACGTAACTCTAGAAATATCTGACAGTTGAGCTGGATTTTTCTCAAATTTCAGACTCTTCAGCAAAGGTTTTCAGTGTATGAAAAAGAATAACGGGAAAGAAAGAAAAACTAAAGTGGGCTTTGCCTATTCCCTTATGCAGAAAATAAAGAAGGAAAAAGCCTTCACATGAGCTGGATTCAGATGAAAAATCCTTTGAGGAAATTGAGATTCCAGGGACCGTGAGCAAATTGGATGCCATTTATCGAAAAGAATAATTCCCTGCAAAGCCAGGGAATATTTCTAGAAAATCAGCGATCCGTGTGATGGGCTAACATGTTGGAGAGAACAGAGTGGCAGGAAGTGGAGCTAATTAACCCTCATTGCCGCCACATTTGGGAGATTTATGAGTAACCATTGACTTCTCTGCTCTTGTTAGGAGCTTTTTGCTGCCTTCACACAGTATGAGCCTCAGCTTCTTTGGGCCAATTGCAGCCACCTCTGAGCTGGACACTTGCTCCAAATTTTCAAGAAAAGCCATAGCTGTAGTTCCCTTTTTTGGCTTCATCAAAAGAAGCACAAAGTGGAACTGGTCCAAAAAGGGCATTCTCTGCTCCAATGAACTTATTCATAAGAGGGAACTGTGAAAATATCTTGGTAGGAGCTGAATTAGTATCCAAAGTCCATCATTTAAACATTTATCTCTTCTATTAGCATAAGTTACATATATTAGGCATGAGGTTTGTTGAAAGGAGGAACAAACCTATTCCATTGTTTTGTGTGTTTCTGTACTGCTATGATTTTCAGAGTAAACTTAGCCTTTTTATTGGGAAAAATAATGATTTTATTAGGTTTTTAAATATGAATGATGTATAGTGATATCTAGTATGATTGGGCCATAAGACCAAACTTAGCAGGGCACAACCTTAGCAAGGAAGCTTGGATCAACCTCTCCCCATGTATTCCTTAAACTCCTTCCTCTTCCACTTCAATATACTCCATCAGATCCCTCCTTTTCTAGAAGTTGTCCCCTTGATTTAAGGGGACTTGATAAAAAAAAGTTTTCTATTCATTCTCAGCTGAGCTCAGCCCACAATCAGCTGGGCTTAAATTCCGTTCCCTCTTAGGAAGAAACTTCCCTTATAGCCTGTTACTGATGGCATCATGGGGAAAACAAGCAACTCTTCTGGGAAGCCTTCCATATTTATGAAGGATTGAAGAATATTGCCCATGTGATGTAGAGCTTAGTTGAAAAAACAAAGAAAAATGCAACTTAAAAACTATTTACAGACCAAAAACTGTAACTTTTTAACGTTTCCTACTGCCTATGAATTTGTCCCAAGCCCTTTTGATATTCAGTTGGTGTCAAAATGATTATGTAACACATGGCCTAGGGCACCAGTTTTGGTCTGGTGTTTCAGGCTTTTAATCAGAGGATGAAGGCAAGGTCATGGTCATTCCCTGAATGAGCCATTCAGCATCATTCTTTGTGGCCACACCAAGCTAACTATCTCAAAGACATATGCAAACTTCTCTCTACTAAAGGGGAAATCTCAAAGCATATGCCCTATGTATGTTGCCTCCACCACACACACACACTGCATGCGCAGAGCTTTATACTGCAGCTCTAACAGTGGAAGTATCAATCCATTGGTGAATGGACATGTAATGTACTATCATGCAACCATTAAAATGTGCTTATTGAAAATTTGATAGTCATGGAAAATACTTATATTAACTTATTTTAACATTTTCATATTATAAAATTAATAATACTTACTTTACAAAACACTATGAAAGTATCTAGTATCTCAGATTTGTAGAGAATATGTATCCCATAACTCCCATCCCAAACCCCCAAGCTAGCCATTACTGACAGTTTGCGTGTGATGTGTTCTTCCAAACTCTTTTCTCTGTGTTATGAAAATACATTTATGTGTTCATAGACTGTTTTCTTTTACAAAAATGGGACATGTATCTTTTTCTGTAACTTATTTTTATTCAGCAATGTGTCTAGGACATCCTTCCATGTCAGAACATTGCAATATAAAAGTACCATATTCATTCTAATGCCTTCAGTTTCCAGTTGTGTAAGTGTGCCATGGTTTATTTAACCAGTCCCTATTTGTAGATATTTAGGTTGTTTTCAGGTTTTGCTATTACAAATAAGGCGTTAATGAACACCTTTAGGCAGTTAGGTAAGTACTTGTGAGGAATCGTTAGGTCAATGTCTATGTTCAGTTTTAATCTTCTAAGGACTGTCAAATTTTCCTCCAAAACAGTTGTATTAATTTATACTCCCACTATCTTTGTATGAGTTCCCATTTCTAATTCTTTTACCAAAAGTATTATTAATCTTGGATTTTAGGACAAGTTTAATAGGGAAAACCACATTTCAGTTTTGATGTGATATTTTCCTCTTACTGGAGCATCCTTTCAGTTATTTTTTAATCCAAATGTATTTCTTCAGTGAATTGCATATTTTTCAGTAGGGTTGCTTGTCTTATTGGTTTGTAAAAGTTTACTTATTACCATTTTGTTATTTCAAATTTTCTCATTCACTTTTTGCATTTCAAATATCATTTTCCCCATCTGCCATTGGCTTTAAACTTTAAGTTGTATTTTCTCACAAAGAATTTTAATTTTTTGTGTAGCCAGAGCTGTCATTCATTTCATGTGGCTTCTGGTTTTCTTTTTATTCCTACGAATGTCTTTTTAACTCCATATTCTTATATATTGTTCTACTGCTTATATAATTTGGGGTTTTACCCATAGTTCTTTATTTCATATGAAATTTATAATCATGTATGGTGTGTAATAGGGAACCAATTTTCTTTTATCTCTGGTAGTAGGTTCATGAATATTATTTTTGTTCGTTTTTGTGCTTCTAGTTGTTCCAAAGTTTTCACAATTGGCAAGAATTACTTTTATGTAGAAGAAAAACCCTTTAAAAGAATATCTCATTCCACATGTATTCTATAGAAGGGTAGGTATGAGAGTGTAAGAAGGCAAAAGAGGGGCTTTTGTTTCTTTTTAACTTAGAAAAACTTCAGGAAACATGTGTGAGTGTAGCTCCTTGTTGCCAGATAACCATTTTACCCAAGAAAGACAAGGGTTTTTTTGTTTGTTTTTTTGTTTTGTTTTGTTTTGTTTTTTATCATTTACAGGATGGTTAGATTATAAGCTTCTAAATCAAAGAAGGTGCTCTGTAGTTTGTTTGCCTCCTATTTTGGATATAAAAGTGGAATGAAGGGGGCGGCACCATTATGGCTAAAGATACTCATTCAGTTGGTGTAAAATCTGCAGAGGTCTGCAAAAAATGCTATATTTGAGGAAAGCTGTTTTCACAAGGAAATGTTGAGGTGGGTGCTGCCACTTGCTAGCAGCTAAGTAGACATCATTGCAGTTGTGCTCCTAGGAGGGAAGACAGGCTCAGGAACCCAGGAAATATTGATGGTGCATTTCAGTCGATGAATGAGCCATTTGTGCCTTATATAAAAGTTTGTTGCTGTTCAGAATCAGCAAGGTTTGAAGTCTTTAACTGGGAAAATGTCTTTCTGTAGCTCCATTATGCTGTGTTGTTAAAGTTCTAGTGAAAGAGGCCAATAACTCTTTTGAAGTTCAAAGGAGTGTAACATTTAGTGCATAATATTCATGCAAATATGGGACAAATAGAATGAAGTGTTTGCTTCTTCCAGCAGTTCTAACTTAGGTAATGAACTATTGATCAAAGTGACTTGGAAGAACTGAGTTGTTAGGAATATTCAGTTATTTTGACTTGACCATCATGTGCCACATCTGGCACAGGATCTAGAGGGGGAGGAATTTCTCATTTACGTCACAGAGTCCATTTTTGTATATTCTTTATTGTTGAAAGTATTATATATGTCCCTTTTCCCCCTATTGTCCTCTCCCAGTCTGCCCCGCCCCCAGCCCCAGCCTTCACCCTCCCGCATTGTCTGTGTCCATTGACTATGGTTATATGCATACAAGTTCTTTGGTTGAACTCTCCTCCACCTCCCACCCTCCACAGCCTTCCTGAAGTTTGACGGTCTGTTCGATGACTGTCTCTGGATCTATTTTTGTTCATCAGTTTATGTTGTTCATTATATTTCACAAGTGAGCACAATCATGTGATACTTATCTATATCTGACTGACTTATTTTGCTTAGCATAATGCTCTCCAATTCCATCCATGCTGTTGCAAATGGTAAGAGTTCTTGCTTTTTTACAGCAGTGTAGTATTCCATTGTGTAGATGTACCAGTTTTTTAATCCGCTCATCTGCTGATGAGCACTTAGGCTGTTTCCAAATCTTAGCTATGGTAAATTGTGCTGCTATGAACATAGGGATGCATATATTCTTTCTGAATGGTATTTCTGATTTCTTGGGATATATTCCTAGAAATGGGATTACTGGCTTAAATGGGAGTTCCATTTTTGATTTTTTGAGAAAAGTCCATACTGTTTTTCACAGAGGCTGCAGCAGTCTGCATTCCTACTACCAGTGTACTAGGGTTCCCTTTTCTCCACATCCTTGCCAGCACTTGTCATTTGTTGATTTCTTGATGACAGCCATTCTGACAGGTGTGAGATGGCACCTCATTCTCGTTTTGATTTGCATATCTCTGATGGTTAGTGACTTTGAGCATGTTTTCATATGTCTCTTGGCCTTTCTTATGTCTTCTTTTGAAAAGTATCTATTTAGGTCCATTGCTCATTTTTTGA